AATCTGGGAAGCTTGTGGATGCATGAACTTATAATTTCCGCATTAAATTTTCGCAAAACAAAATTGACGCAGCACTTTGTGTAGCTGACCTTTTTTAAATTTTAATACTCCTTAGAGCGTTAACAGTAACACGGATATAAAGAAAAAAGTACATTCTGAGCAGAGCTTAAATATAAATAAGGTTTAGCTGTTAGCTCTGCCAACCCTAAATTATATTTATGGGAGCTAGCATCTAACATTCTTGTGCATTTTATCCTAAATGTTCCCAGAGGTGTACATTTTTAACTGGGTAATATTTTACTTAAATCTATGCCACTATGGCAGTGTACTAATACAAATTATTATTTAAATATTTCAAATGACAGAAGTGTCATTTAATATTTTAATATATTCAGAAATTCACTTTTTTGTTTTCAACACTTATATTTAATTTTTCCTGTACTTTCCTGTACAGTATGTGCACAATAAATAAATACAATACAATAAGTTCTATATTATTTTCACTATGACTTAGTTGCAAATTGTTTTATTTATCAAATATTCTACAATAGTATTTTTACGCACCTTTCCATTACCAGAACATCGATATATTACATATTTAGAAACAACAAAATAATTGTTCTTTAAAATAATTAATTTATTATATATTTTTTATTAATATCCAATATCAAAGATGCTCCAACTTTTTACCAGTTGAATCAATTTTAACATTCCCATCTTAAAAACTAGTAGTTCCACCAGAAACCAACTGAAATTTATATTTTCCGAATGATATAAAAATGATGGAACAGGAAATAATAAATAGGCACATGAAGTACATATTTATCAAAACAAATAAATATTTGTTCTACTTAACCATTTCGATTACAATTTTTGCTTTGCAGTATAGCGTACAAAATTCATATAATAGTTGAATGTAAAAGATATGTAAATATTTAGAGTAGAATTTAGAATATATGATATATCGGAATGGATAAACACACAAATACGTGAAATTAAACTCAGATATGCATGACATAGAAATCCATTTATATGTACGATTGTGTATGCCAAAACAGTATATAAAATATTGATTTGATTTTTCTAAAGAAAAGCAGATACCTGCTGTAGTAAAAAAGTTCAAGTTTGACGTTTTACTCTGAACCTGTTCTGTTCCAAAGTTTTCCAAATGTAGGGCTTATTTTTTCCTTTTCTATCTAGAAAGGAAAGGGAAATTAATAATAATGAAAAATATTTAGTTATTCCCATTCCTAAAAATGTTTAAGTGGTCATCAAATGGTTAATAATTTTCCTGCAGAATTATCTGTCCTATTTTCTCCGATTTAATACGTAATTAATATTATTTTATCTTGATGGTAAGAAGAAAATCGTATTATTAATTCGTAAATTTTTTATATTTAAAGAATTGAAAAGTCATCAACAATTTTTTTAAAATAAATGTATTTTCAAAAATCACTTACATCCCTCAATTTTTTTCAAAAATTGATAATAACTTGAAAACTGTCACATTTTGGCCTATAGTACCTTATATAAAATCAGTCTAGATTTTACCGTAGAATTAAAAAATGCAAAAATATACAGTGTTCCATTTGAAATAACAGAGGCGATGATGACTTCCGGTATAACCGGAAGTGCGAAGAAGCTGACACTTTTTCATTGAATAGATCCTTTTGATGAACCCCTGTACACAAATTTTCAGATTTCAATTCTGACTACATTTTGAGATAATCCTACTGGACCCTCTTCGTGATACACCCTGTATATTTTCAAACATATGTTCAAAAATCTACCCACTCCACTTATTAGTTTAGAAACTTTATTTGCCTTACATTTTGCCACCTGTTGAAATTGATTTAATAAACACAAACATTTTTAGTTAGACAAAATTAATTTCACAAAAAAAACATCTATGCCCGATTTTTTTCGTCTCCATTGGTATAACGTCATATTAGTTCATTTCCAGCTTTTAACACAGAATTATTCAACTAAAAAATAAGAAGATTGAAACACCTCTGCGTCAAATGAATAATTTCATACAATAAAATATTTTTTATAAAATTATTCAAAGAATTTTGTGAAAAACTCTAATGTTTAGCGTAGTAAAAACTTCTCTCAACTTGTCATGTTCTGCTTAAAATTTATACATCCACTTAAAAATATCTGCACTTTATCCCGGATTCGATATTGGATTTTAAGACCGCACATCTGGACTTTAAAGCTACCGACATCGTTATTAAATTTTACATGAGGCTACAGCCATCTTATAAATCAGTCGGAAATTAGGAATTACTACCGTACATTTTCACCTTGAAAAGTACTTTTTCTCGATACAAGACTACTGCCTCTGATTTAGGGAAATTCGATATCCTCATACTAACAGATATCATACTGGGATAAGTATACCATTAAAGTATTTTATTTATATTTACAAGTACTCATAAAAATTGTAGGTATGTAAAGTTACACTGTAGATCACTGTTTTTTTTTTGTACAGGAAAAGTTATTTTAAGTGTGTTATACAGGGTGTTAATGAACTTATGTCAAATATTTTTGCCGCATATTCGTTTGCATGAAAATACTTGTAGGTACAAATTATAGTTCTAACGAAGTCGGAGCTTCCGGTATCAATTTATTGTACTGTACTTTTGCTAAAAAATTTGATTTATTCACTTCTTTTACTTTTAAACGAGCAACTTTTTAAACTCATTCCATTTTTCCTAAAGAGGGATAATGAAATAATTAATTTCAACCGGAACAAAACGTATTTACAATTCCTGTCTCATCTACTTTAGCAAATACGAGTAGTTTGTCAGCCTTTAAACTGAACATTTAAATTTCTGTTACACTTCAAAAAATTGAGAGGAGTTAGGACTATGCTAATTATATTTACACAAACATGTTAAGATACTGATTATTTTATAAATGTTTACTCAAAAATGTGATAACCATTTCTTACATTTCTATAGTAAATATTAACAAATATTTGTTAACAAATTTTACATTTTATTTATTGTTCAATTATCGGAATTTCAGGAGACATAACTTTTATATGTATATAAATCATTAGATAAAAATTGCCAGCAATGTACGTACTTATAATAGCCACTTGTTATTTTTCTTCCACAAATAAGATCCACTTCTTATTTGTGGAAGGGCGAAATGGGCGGTGACTATTAGACGCCTTCATTGTAGCCATCTTTCTCTATCGCACGGATTTTTATGGCTTTCTTTATCGCTCTCACGTAACAGCCGATAAACCATGGGGACTTTCCGACCCTGTATGTATACTTCGAGTGAGTGCTAGAGAGACGCAGTATACGAAGGAGGCCAAGAGCGGCCGAGAAACACGGCACGCGCGTCTTATTAACAATAAAAAAACAAGTCTTCAGAATAAAATATGCCAGCGTAACTCTTCCAATTTTTGTTAAGAGATGTTCAAAGATTATTTAAGAATTTTGGCAACAGTAAATGTTGCAATTTTTAATATAGTTTATTGACGATGAAAATGGTTAAAATCGCGTTTTTTTCTAACAAAAAATCGTTAATATCTCGAAAACGGTAGATTTTAGAGAAAAGTTACATAGGAACATTTTTGTTTATGATACCCCAAAAAGCCTAAAAAAATTTCGAGCGAAAAAATCGAAAATTACGAATTTGTTTAAAAAAAAATTGTTTAAACAATTTTTGACCATTAGTAACGTCTGGCAACATGCGGATATATTTCAAGGGGCATTTTTTTAGTAAGATTATGAAAAAAAAAATCGAATAAGAATCATGTTCCTAGCGGGAGCGACATACAGCCTGGACTAATAGTAAAAATTATGAAAAATACGTTTGAAAACAAACTAATTTAACAAATTCTACCAGAAATTTTTCTATACGGTATGGGTATTTATAATTTTAGGGAAACATTTTTGTGTGCGTCGAAGTTATATTTTCCGAACTACTTTTATTAGGATCCCTGTGTGGACAGGTACGGTCAAAGTCGGATAACAGTAAAAACCTTAATACCGGTCCACGTGAAATAGAGTATAATACAAACTTGGTAACTCTCCCCACGTGTAATTACAGTTGTCTAGTTGACCTTTTCCTTCGGTTCTTTTTCCGAGCTGAAAAACAATGCTTTAGTTAATAGACTGAAAACGAACACCTATATGTCTCCATTGTCACAGGGAGAACAGTAAGCAACAATCCGAAATCTATTTCTAGGTAAATATATGTGCCCCAAAAAAGTTTTCATACAGATTAGTGTGAAAGTAGTACAATCTCCAATCTGTTAAACTAGCTTTTCTGTTTTGAAACTGTTTTATTGTGAGGAACATAAAATACTGCACTTTTGAACTATTCCAGTTTTCAAAATTTTAACAAATATCCCTAAAACTGCTGAATGTAACTATACGGTATGAAAGTAAATAATTTTGTAGTCGAAATTTTGCTTATATTCTACTGAAAAACTGTTTACTGAGTTGCGTTTAAGGAGGTTGTTACCTTCTTCCACTACAATTGCAAGGAATCAGGAACAATACTTTCATGGGTAAAACTATCCTGATGGTTTGGATTCCTGATGTACCTATTTCTTATCAAACCCCGTATATAGGCGCAGTGTGCAACCAACAAATATGATTTCAATATAGACTGCTACTGTGAAACAATGATAATTGCGAAATTTTTACAGAAATAAAGTAAATATGTAAAGTAGACTTAATCTAGACCTAAAGAATTTATGACCTGAATAATATTTTTTAAGTCATAGAACAATTAGAAATCAATTAGACTCTTATCTAGCAGAATTATCGGGTTTTCAATTGAACTATGAGAGGCACATCGAAAATAGGAAATATACCTGTAATAACAAATTTATTTGTTGAGGTATAAACCATTTAGGAAAACTTGTTTACTTATTTATCTTGCCTCATCAAGTGGGTACCATATTTTATCATAAATACTGATACTGATGATAAATTTTGATAACAACTTTGATTCAGTCTTGTCTATGCTAAATGGCAGTAATCGTTTCCCATTTGTGCTGGACGGATCTTATTTTGTTTTTATATCTCGTAATTTCTCATTAGAAGATGCAAAATAGTGAAGTTGAAGTGGAGTTCATAAGCGGCAGGTTAGCATTGAATTGAATTTTATTAGCTATGTATTAGTTTTTATGTTTTAATTATTACAAAGTGTAGAGAGCTACATTTAAATACTGCTTTTTAAATTATTATAGTGCTCTGATAATAATTAATTAATTCTAAAAATTATTTACTCCTTACAAATGGAGATGATAATAACTTTTTTTATCTTTATTAAAAGTAACAAGGGTTAGAGGCATGATAATTTATAAACAGTGTAAAAATGTAATTTTCTAGTAATTTGGTTCTAATAGTGCAATTGTACTTTATTAGTAAATAGCCATTAATATACGGTAATAATGTCGTTTTGGTATATGCAACTTAATATGCATTTGTAAATTAAACTAATGCATACCCAACAGTAAGACATTTGAAGATTGGATACAAATTATTTTTAATTATCTTTATGTGGCTATTACTTTATATTGTTTTATGTCAGACGTGACATAGATCACAAAAATATATCGTTTGTAGATAAGTGGATAAATTAAAATAGATTACAATTGTATAAAAATAGTTAAAAGGGTTATCTGAATGTTAATTAAAAAAAATATATCCTCTCTAGTTTATATTTATCCTTATTCTCAAAAACACTTAGGGTGATTCTGATATATCGAGTTACGTAGAACAACGATATTGCACATTCGACTGCAGGGGTTATCAAAAAATTAGTTTTTGTTCGGCTCATCCATGGTACGAGTATATTTTTCTCTTTTAAGTTGAGAAATTGAAATTTCCAAAGGTTCGTTTTAAAACATAATTCATACACTTTTTCTCAAAACAGTAATAATCTAATCTTACTAAATTGTTTACCTGTTCAGAATTATCGGGCTGTTGTAAAAATGATATTGCTTAAAATTTCCACTATAATTAACTTTTATTTATGGAAATGGGGCCAATAAATGTTTAAATGACATTTATTATATAGTATAGAGCATTTTAGGATATGGCTAAACATAATATTGGAATTCGATTGACCAATATAAGAAAAAAAAGTTGTTGAAGTTGATTGACATAGACTGGTGAAGTTTATGCCAATGACTTTCTTAATTGAAGATGAAAACACGTGAGCTCATATACAGGGTGTAAGAAGTTTGACTGCCATTACTTAAGCATGAGATAGAATAATCATAAATGAACAAAAAATATCTATATTACAGGGGCGTAAAATTAACAGTTTTTAAAATACACCGAGAATTAATATTGGGTAGTTCCATCACAACGTGGCAACAGCGCTTAACCTACTGCTACACAACTGATGCACACCACGCGCCACGTGTGCACGCGGCAGACTTGTCTTACGGAATAACAAAAATGTAAACAACTATTATTGTGACACATTTAGTAAATTTCAAGACAATTGTTTTCCAGTTTTTAAATAAATAAAATAAAACGTATTGATTTTGTAGTACGACGATAGTGTGCTTAAATTTTAGCTCGAATTTTAGTAATTATGAATCTCTTAAAACAGGAACTTAAAGTTTTAATCAAATTATGAATTTTAAAAATATGCAATTAAAGTACCTAAAGATCCAGTAATTTTTAATCGCACAAGTATGAAACAAACTACAGCATATGCTCAAAATGTCAACCATATCGTGATACTCACATATGGTAAACATTTTAAAAAAGCAAGGAGAAACACCTCAAAAAAGGAAATAGTGGTACGCAGAAAACACTCCGACGCGGTCGAATTCCAGATACCAACTGAATTGCGTATTGGTGGACAGCTTAGTACCTCGTGTTAACTGCCGCGCCGTTGTTATATTGCTCAATATGGATTTTATCGAATTTTAAATTACAACCCTTATTATTATGTAGAATTAAGCATAAAGTAGTTAAAAAAAGTGATAAACATTGTATTTTATGGTATTCTATGCACGCAATTATGTCAGTATTCCTTAATTAATCGAACTTTTGTATAATAAAGAGATTTTGATAATTTTTTTCTCGGAAATGTTTAAGTTTAGGACCCATGTCATATAAGTTTTTTTTTGTTTATTTTAATGTATTCGATCGTCTGTTAAAATTAAGACAGTCAATTTTCTAACACCCTGTATAAATATGTCGACCTGCGGTGGAAATATGGGAAGCTACCATCAAAGAACCCAAAAAAATTCGATTTGGTTATGGTAGTGGTGTTTCTAGGAAGAAATATCTCTTTCACTTTATTCAACAAACGGACAGTTTTCGACTTTTTACTTATTTTAACTTATGTTCCTTTTATTTTGAATGAATTGAAAATAAGTTTAGAACTACTGGTTTTACAATGAACGTTTACAAAATATTTCTTGCCAGAAATTAAATTTTAAAAGCATTTATTTACGAAAATGTTAAAAAAAGTTTGGAGTAGAAATTTTGTATTTTGCTGGAAGTAACAGGGCGTTTGTATAGCAGTGAGTAAATGCAAAATTTATAGAAATTTGTTCTTTGCACTGGCATAGTCCAATGTTTTTTGTTAGACTTCTTAATAATATCCACATTGTACTTAAAATTTCGTATTTCTGGAAAAAATTATTGCCGTAGATATTTGCACTTAAAATTTACATTATATACCTAAAAAAATTAGTCAAAAACGTTTTTTTCTCAATAAATAATGACTAAGTTATTTTTTCTTAAGCGTGCACAAATTTGGCCAGCTTATCTTACTCTTTTTTAAGGAAATGTATTCAACAATTGAAAAATTTGCACTTAAGTTATATTACTGGACTATACTTTAAAATGAAAAGATACATATAATACAGTAGGTAGGTACTTTTGGTTCACATTAATCAGACTTTTCAGTAGCGGAAAGATGAAATAATGCACGGTTGGACAATTGAAGACGATAAAACTGCTATAGAAGCCTATGTAGGGACATCCTTTTTCTCTTGGTTGTAGCAAAAAAAATGATAAACGTTGAAAGATTTAAACAAAAAACATTAATCTATGCTAATTATTTCAGTTCTAATAATAATTAAAAAAATACTGAGATTTATCGGGTTGCACAACTTTTATACGGACGTAAAAAAGTACAACTTATATAGTAATTAATTGTAATATTAGGGTTTGAAGTGTCTGCCACAAGGGGATTGTATTGGTATGAATAACTTAAGAACTGTGAATCTTAGGGAAAAAATTCAAGTTACCTTTTTTGCGTATTTAGTGCATTAGACTATAAATCCGTTACAATAACTTGTAAAAAATACAGTGGCGTAGTTTTTTTTTAAAAAAAAGAGGGCGACCCCTGTCCAGTTGTACAAAACTGGTTGAACCTTTAGAGCTCATATTTTAGGGAATGAAAGACTTGCTGTCATACATTATCTGTACCAAATTTTATTTAGGTCGGTTAATAGATTCCGGAGATATAAACAAAAAATCAATTTTTTTTAACAACTTCAACACCCTGTATCGCTAAAACGAGGCCGTTCCAGACCTATGTTTATAAGGCAAACACCTATTATTTTAAAGAGATCTATCTGCCCTAGAAGTTTCCTGAATAAAATTCGGACCACCCTGTATACAAAGGAGTGCGAGATCTCTCGAGAGAATCTTGTTTTAATAGGAACAATCCACTTTTGAGTACTGCCGGAAATATGTTTTTTTTTCATAGGTGTTACTTCTGGTAAATATAATTCCGTGAATTGTTGTATTTTTCACACATAAAAAACAATTTTCACCACGTATGCTACTAATACCAACCTGGTTCAAGTACACAAAATATTAGATATTATCTATACTGGATAGCCAAACGATATTTTTAGAAACATTATATCGTATAGGTTTCATATAATCACATGATGCTAAGCTAATCTTGATGTGATTTTCCTATTAACAAATTACATGTATGCGAACATATCCAGTTTCATTATCTACTCTGTATTCAGTTGCCATTGATTGAAAACCTTATTCCTCTAATCACCATAATACAACTTAGTCCCATATTACATAATCAATATTAAAATGTTATGCAGTTTATATCAATTTATTTGTAAAATACACATATGCCATAAATACTATCAGTTTAATAATCGTAGTCAATATTATTCAATTTACAGGTGCAGATATTAAAAGTTTTATTAAACGCATCCTGCTCAGTCAGTTCCAGGTAGTCTTCTTCCCGGAAGTACTCCACCATTTTCTTCGTAGAGTATAACAGCCCGAATAGCATTAATAAAGAACCAGTTACAATGGTAATCGAATAATAGGAGCATTTGCTATGAGGTTCTTCTTTACTGGCAATTCCTATCCAGATCATAAACTCATCGAATATATCGTACTCCTCATCATCCGACGGGTCGTTTGGGTAATATTTACTTAAAACACATTCGTAAACTTCCTTGAAATTCACAATTACGTTGCACAGGCCGTTATTTATTGGTATGATGATGTTATTTATAACGTCTGAAATTAACTCACTTCCTGTGTAATTCTCGTTAGAGGTATGTTTGGGGTGGACGTCGCCGTTCAACTTGCATTTTTCGCATATTATGGGGTAAATGTAAGCTTCACAAAACTGATTGTATATTACAAAGTATATAAAAAATTTAAAAAATAAAGACATTATAATGCTAAGTCAACATGACAGATGTCAGAAGGCGTCGATGCCTTGATCTACATACTTGACGAAGATATCAAATACAGTAGTCCAGTCACTGAAAGCGACAATAAAGTAAAAGCTCCAAATTTTTTCAGATAGCATGGATTTTCCTGAAAATTTGCATACAAGCTCATCTGACCCCCCCACTTCAAAAGTTATATTGTCTAGATGTGTGCTTTTTCTATTTGGGGGTGATAACTACCCTTGTACGAATAAAATGCGAAAATCTCAGATTTACGTATTTTAAAGATTCAATTCATGTTCAAATATGTTGGATAAAGTTCCTTTCATGTTTTTTAATATAATTTGTGAAATTTAATTACTTTTCAACCCTTAAAAATCCTTAAAAACTAACCTTCCAAGGCCAAAAAAATAGAAAATAAAAGTTTTTAACAGTTTCAAATATTCTTTTGGTGCATTCATAATGAATTGCATTTCTTTTGTTATTCATTAGAAAGCTTACGATTCATTACCAAGCTGCAACCCTTAAAAACCATCCCTTATAAAAAAATAAAATATTATTGAAAGCTTGAGATGTTTTAATGGTATGCATATGTTGAATTATAAACTTTTTATTGGTTTTCAATTGATCTATGATATATTGCAACTTTTTAGCCACCCAAAACAACCCTCATAAAAAACCCTACTCCTTATAGAAAAATTTCCTAAAAATTATATGCGAGTATGATAATATAATTAATTTTTTTAATTTTATTGGATTTATTCTTAATATTTATTTATTAAATTTATGTCAAATAAATAGAAAATTATATACATTATAAATGGATACGTGTGTGTATGTATATTATTAAAATACTTACTCAAATCAGTTCACAAGTCCTACAAAATACACAAAGATGTTGGTAATTTACCCGAACCGAAAATTTTACCGTAAAAATGCGATTAATTTTTTTACCATAACTTTTGCAATTTTTAAGTTATAAATTTACTCAAAAAAAACATTTTGTAGGGAATTTAAAGCACTTTAAGTTCTGTGATTTGCAGTTTTTTGAGCCCTTCGTTTTTTAGATTTGTAAGCTAAGAGAGCTCAGGAGCTTAGTTTTGGGCTTCTAACGGTCATAACTCAGTCAAACTTTGTCCTACAAAAATTAAAAAACAGTAAATTGTTCAGTAAGAAAATACCTACAATTTCTTATTCCATAATTTTTTTATAACTTTGTTAGTTTTTGAAATATTTTGAAAAAAGGGCGATTTCTTTAAAAATTTACAAATTGTATTCAAAAGTACCTAAATGATTTTTTTTTAAATTTAGGTTTCTAAAATTGTTCAAATTCCCAGAATCTACTGTTACTTAATANTTTATTCTTAATATTTTTTTATTAAATTAATATAAAATAAAAAAAAAATTATATACATTATAAATGGATACGTGTGTGTATGTATATTATTAAAATACTTACTCAAATCAGTTCACAAGTGCTACAAAATACACAAAGATGTTGGTAATTTACCCGAACCGAAAATTTTACCGTAAAAATGCGATTAATTTTTTTTCCATAACTTTTGCAATTTTTAAGTTATAAATTTACTCAAAAAACCATTGTGTAGGGAATTTAAATCACTTTAAGTTCTGTGATTTGCAGTTTTTTGAGCCCTCCGTTTTTTAGATTTGTAAGCTAAGAGAGCTCAGGAAAGGCAGTCTTGGAGCTTAGTTTTGAGCTTCTAACTCTCATAACTCAGTCAAACTTTGTCCTACAAAAATTAAAAAACAGTAAATTGTTCAGTAAGAAAATACCTACAATTTCTTATTTCATCATTTTTTTATAACTGTTAGTTTTTGAAATATTTTGAAAAAAGGTGATTTCTTTAAAAATTTAAAGATTGTATTCAAAAGTACCTAAATGAAATTTTTTTTAAATTTAGATTTCTAAAATTATTCAAATTCCCAGAATCTACTGTTACTTAATACATAAATAAAGTAAATTTCAGAAGGAATACGTTTAATTTTTTTTCCGTGAATTCATTAATTTTAATACCGATTTTATTTTCTCAAAAATCAAAACAATAATTTTATTTTGATTGTAACTTCATTAGTTTTCATGCTAACGACTTCTACCACCACTCAATTTAAAGGCCTTTTCAAGAACTTTAATAGGTGTTATATAAGTTTTCCTCGAAAAACCTTTAATTTTTCCGCTACAGGACGTTGCACGTTTCGATTATAGCTATCTTCGAAATTGACTTCAACTTCTGGGAGTCATAACTCGGGTTCTATACCATCTACAAAAATATAAAAAAATCGATATGCTATTTAATTACCTTCATTTTTGCTTATGATCATTTTTTTTTGATAAAACACCTATAACTTTTATTTCTTGGGCTAATCCCTAGCTACAGTTCAAATTTCACGTCAATCCATTCCATCCGAAAAAATTGGTAGCCAAAATGATTCAGTGACTGGACTACATATTTTATTTACATACTTGATATACTCAGATCTACGCCCTAGCCAGTCTAAAATGTTTCAAAGTGTCTATAAATTTAAATAGATCAATAATGACAAAATATGTAATAATTTGTTACAGTCAAAAAATATACACTTTACCAGAACCACAAAAAAATTGATTATAGAATAATTTAGCCAGGAAGATATGTTGAAATAGGATTGGATATTAATTCATACTTGAAAACAGCAAGATAATTTTTCAAGGATTGTTTAATAGCCAAAACATAAAAAAATTGAAGCAAATAATTTATATCTAATATGCCATACCTACAGATCTATGTGATAATGAATACCTTTGGTGAAGACGTAGCATTTTTAGAGAGCAGGAACAAAATTGCATAAATCATTTAAACAATTGGGAATTTTTTACATCATATGTATTATTTTCATGTTATAGAGGATTATCTTCTACAAAGATGCAAAGTCTCTATTTTCGGAAAAAAGTATTAATAATAAATTCTATATTAAAAAGGATTATTTGCTTTTGTTGCTTCCTTGACATCCAATAAAACTTTCCTCATTGGAGTAAAATTGCTATATAATAATAGATCCATATTTGCAAAATATTCACTACTTTGCCACGAGGCAAAACAATTATTGTAATCAGTCCCTTTAACTAAATTATATCGCTTGATACAAATCGAACGTTGTTAATACACTTAAAAGATAACAATAACATTTGGTTGTCAGTATCATCCAACATTTTCTACTCAAGTGGATGGATGTGGAAAAACTAAACTAATCTTCCTTATCTTGTTATACATGACACAATTTTCTGAAATATATGTACTTATTGTAAAAACTTGTTACAGTTTACCTCATGAACACACCACTGAAATGATGAACACTAAAAGCCAATATGGAGTTCCTGAAAATTACAATCCTGCAGATCATCCCCCAGTGAAAATGAGAAATCATAATAAGTGAGTATATTAAAATTGAAAATCTACGTACAAATTATGTTAGTACAACTTCTACAGACCAAAAACAATAACAAAATAAACATTTGTTGAATATGTTTTAATGTCTGTTATTTTGTAGGCAAAATTTACAATGACTATGTACAATTATTGTACCACTGACATACATTATAACTTATATATTTCATGTTACAATTTTTGTTAAAATATTCGAATAAAACGTACAATCCATGATTAAGTTAATTACAAATTTGATTATAATGAATTATTTTCTTTAATTCAATAAAAATAATTTTACAAGCACTTAAATGCTTAGTAGTGGCTAGAAAATCACTTACTGGTGTCTAAAATGCCACTTACTTGAAGTAAAAAAAAAAATTATATTTGTTGGCATTGCTATAAAGCATGAAAATCTAGCAGCCGTAATAAAAATTTTTGTTGGGTAAAAATTATACTATCTACGTCAATAAAGAGATGGGGTTTTCAGCAATAAATAAAAAGTTCATAAAAACTCGTTCAACCAATAGCAATTTCCAAAATGTTTCTTGTTATAATAGCAAAGTAACCTTTGTTTAATGTTTAATCTATTTCTACTTATAACTAAAAGATATTTTCTTCAGGGTAATATTGTTGAAGATATTTATATTAGATAAAAAGGATTTAATTTTATCAAAACAGAGAACAGGCTGTACAATTAGAAATGAAAATACTTCTGAAACTAACGAAATATAACTGGAAATATTTCACATAATACCAAACATTAATTGTCCATCTGCGATTCCAAAAAGGTTCTACACTTTCTTTAGACCATTTTGTTCTGTCAAAATATTAACATAATATCGAATATATTCGAAACGGTTGAGTTTGGCTGAATGAATACCTGACAATGAGCAGCAAGCAAGTTGCTTAAAATATTTTGTTTATTTTGAATTTGCAGAAGTATAGTGATTTATTTAAACTAAGAGAGTTTAAACTAGATGCAAACATACCTACATACAAAATTTTAGGATTTTAATTTGAATTCCTTCCTTAGGCATGTCTTTCTAACAATATGTCGTCGTGACATACCCCATACGTATAAAGGTGTAATGAAGTTGTTGCCATAAGCCCATAACAGTTTCACTAAAACAAACAAGACAAAAAAATACCTACGAAGAAAAATTGATCAACTGACTAGTGGCGTCGGAATTAGGAGCATCTGAGAAACTTTAACTCAAAATACTGTTATTTGGTATTGCAGTATTCTTTTACATATTTGTGTACAAGTTTCTAAGCAAAATTTTGTACCTCTTGAATTTTTTTCACAGAATATCGCATTTATGAAAAAATTAGATGAATAGTTGAAAATTAGAATAAATTGAAAATTTTACAAATTAGAATTTATTTGAATGATAAGTCAGACGAATATATTCAACATTACCTTCGTTTTACATTAAAGAAACTTAATTCATTATCTGTGAATTGTTATTGATGAGCTGCTTCTAATCTAACCTTAATTAACCATGAATTCTAAAAAAAATGGAGAAGTCCAAAAGTTTTATTTGGAAAAAAAACGTATACAAATGATCTCGAAGATATCAAATAACTTTTTGTTTATAGATGAAACCCCTCAGCCACCACTGGCACAATTATTCGTAAAATTTTATTTCTATTTAGATACTACTATTAAAAAATTGAACTATACCAGGGTGAAATGTACATCTTCAATGGCTTTTAAGTAATTGATCAAATGAAAGTTTCATGTCAAGGATACATGAAATATCCTAGATCGAAATCATTTTAAGAAAAAATTGTACTTTTGTTTTATCGACATGAACCAGCCCTGAAAGGTATTTCTGAAAGGTTATAGTGTATCTATAATTTAATCCTCCCGGTAATTTTCTGCACAGAAATAAAATGTTATAATTAAAAATGTTTTTGTATCGTTGCATAAAGGATTTGAAAACTTATCCGCAAATTTATCACTCCAATTCTGTTGTAATTTAAAACTTTGGAGGTGTTCGTTTTGAAATGTAGCGAGCAAGTCAGCAAGAAAATTCCATTTAGGTCGTCAAAACTCTTCTCACCTGAACGAAATATTGACTTGTTTATACAATAACACCTATAACCTAAAAATATATTTAATTTTGATAATATAATTAACTTTAAGTATCACTAATAAGCCTAAAATTGTTTGGATACGTAAGTTGATAATTTAATGTGCGATAATCTACGTGTGCGACCTTGCTACGGCCTAGGCGATATCGTTAATATCTGAAAATAATAAACTACACATTATAAAAAGATATTGTTCTACTTGTAATAGATATTGTATATCAAATCTCATAAATATCGACAGGTTATTGTTTTATAGGAATTGTGTATTGTACAGGATGTAACGAAAGTGTTTCTTCAAATGTAGTCGTATAAGAATAATTTCAAAAATAGATAGTTGTGGCCAATTTTAGTAGAATAACTAAAATTTAACTTGATATTCCGATCGGATTATGAGGTCTGTTCTACAAATGTTAATTAATAAATAGAATAATACCTTCATATAATAGTTTTGAAAATATGAGGTAGAGAGCTCGACATATCAAAGGAAACATGTAAAAACTAGAATCAATCTGTCAATATTGCTTCAGGCACTGTCTGCCCATTCATTTATTTCTTTGTATACGTATATAATGGGTACATACCTGCGAATGGCGAACATGAATATAATTTTGAATATGTATAATAATCAATCAAATTTGGACAGAAAATAGGATTCTATTTCAGTTTGGTTCACAAAAAAGCCATAAACGTGATTCTGAGGTTATTTCCATTACCGATAATAAACCTTCCGTTACATATTTTCTTCTAGATTTGTGAAAACAATTTACTAAATAACAAGAATAGAACAGAATGTGAGAACATCCTCTCTATATGTAATTTCACTATTAAGGAATAAATTTTTGTGTACTTAAACAGGATAAGTTTATATCATGAATGAACATTATTTTAACCTGTTCTACCGATTCCTGATTAAACCTGAATCGCCCTGTATAACAAAATATTTATCCAACTAGTAAAACTTAGAATTAACTATCTGTGACAGTTTCGTTATGCATAAAGATATTTTTTTTATTTCAGTTCAGACCAAAGTGAAACCCAAAGGAAAAGGAGGTCAAAGAACAGATTGTCGAACAGAAGAAGTACAGGTTTCGTCTCGTCAGATACAGTTGAAGAGGCTTCTAAGTTGGGACCAGATGGAGAATCAAACGGTCACAAAGTTTGACATTTTTTGTTTTGGAATGAATTAAATATTTTACAAGATTGTTGCTCTTTAAAGTCAAGAAGGTTACTGACATTTCACAACTATCTTTAAGGCTAAATTTTAATGAAATGTGTGCAAGAGGTAATAAGTACGGGGTATGTCCACAAAGTAAGGGAACTAATTTTTTTTTAAAAGGTTTATCAAACACTATTTTTCGACGTAGTCGTCTTCACCTCAATACACTTTGTGAGCACAGGGATGAGCTTTCTGTTAAATCACACCGTCTTCTTCGTAGGGCTGGCGGAATTCGAAGTAGCGACACTCATTTCAACACGCCACTACAACAACAGTTCTCAACTGACTGAGACAAATGAGCACGCGTTCTGCTCCCAACACCTTGGGCTTGAATGCAGTTTTGTCAACTTTGTCGAAAACAAAAACCACAGGGTATCAGAGTCTCAATACTCTTACTTTGTGGATATGCTTCGTAGACATACAAAACTTTTTGTACATAACATCTAGTGTAAGATAGAGCACCTCAAGGATTATTTAGAAATATTGACTCACTACAATAAGAAGCTTATTTCAAGTTACCTGTATTATTAAGTGAGTGAATGAATAGGCTGAATATCATATTAATTTATTCCGACATAAATTTATATTTATTTAATTATTAAGTAGAAATGTAACAATTAATCCTTACTAAGAACAAATTAGTTAATACGTATGTGTAATTTTTGTTCCTTTACAAAGTGATAATAGATTATATAACAAATTAGGTAATTACAATAAATTTATATTTTACAATTAGTTGAGGAAATATATATATTACCAAATTATTATGTAGTAATAAATTATATTGTAAATATTTGAATGAATGGCCAGAAATATATAAACTGATAAGATAACACCCTAAATGGATCAACTTTCTGTCAAAAACGTGTTGGATAAATTGTTTTAGATGTTTATTAGAAAATTAAATACCTTGTCAATAAATAAAAGTACAAGGAAAAGATTTTTATGTCACAATTAAGGTAAGAAGCAATGTGATCTGTGTAAATTATAATCAAGTTTTTGAACTGACGTATAGGGGCTCATATTGCTCGTGTATCATTTTATGTGAGTGAATTCGAGTTAGTTTTAATTTTGACTACGTTTTTCTTTACAAAAACTTTTGGCAAATTAAGAAGAGACAAATTGATATAGGCATTGCTTGAATGATCATCATCGACTCATTTAATAGTGCAATTCGTTTGTTTTGCATTATAGGCAAACTTATAGACACTTTCAAAATCAAATATAAAACGATTTTTATAAATTAAGTGTTATTTGACCGATCTAACAATAATTACATGATGATGTAAAATATTGTTGTCCTATGGACAAATGCTTTTAATATTATTCAAAAAAAAGAAATACAAAATTTGTAGCAAAAATTATAAATCCTTAGTTTGATAAATATAGAGTAGCTGTACTTCTATCTATTCTGTACAAAGGCATTTACTAAAGACGAAATGAAGGGTATAATCACAGACTTATATACTTAAAAGTCTGTGGGTATAATAATTGATTGCTGGACAGAGCTTTAGTTCGCAGAGTAGTTGCTTCCTGTAACAGCTTGTCTTTGAAGTTGTTCTTTAGCATATCTAGATTTTGCTGTCGAAGAGCATAGATAACACATCACTTTACCAGATAAGTATTTTATTAGAATTTTTGGACTTTTGCAATACAGTTACAAATTGTACTCTTTCTATTCAGATAACTGACTGGCTTCAATTTCAGTATTCACATTCACTTTTTCGTTTGATGTATTCTCTAATGAAAGCGGCCCAGATAAAAATTCTATAATGAATTTTAGCCAAAAATTATCCAAATTTAATAAGAAACAAAACAGCTTTACCGAAATATCGATTTTCGTCTCATTTCTAAAGCTATCGAAGAAAAAAAAATTACATAAACTTACGACGTAATTTTTGTAAGATCTGCCCAATTCCGAGAGATTGCCTTTCATTTCCTGGACACTCTGTATAACGTCTAATTAATTTCAATATCTTATATATCTAATTAATCATTTATGAAAGAAATTTGTTTTCTCTCAATATTTAGTCTATTGAAAACCCAGTCTGTGCAAAAAAGAGCTCAATAATAATTAAATTTCAATCATTTTAAAGGAAAGGTCATCTTTTGAAACTTTTTGAACTTATTGAAATTGATATAATATTGTGTTCAGTTTCACTAAAATTTCACTCAGTTTTTTTACAGTGTGTGATATTAATTTATAGACATCTATTAATTGTACTCATTTTTGATCCCTGCCCAACTATAGGTACTTTGAAAATATCTTCACTTAGGCAATTACTCCGAATCATCCTGGATCCGTTTCTGCTGGTACCAAAACAAGCCCGTAAATGCACAATTGTCCAACGGTTTTGTATAAGCCATTGGTGTCCTGCTATTTACTGCAAATAAAGAATAACGGTTTTATATAACATATTACGAAACTGACAATAAACTGTCCAGCCATTATATAGCACTCCCAAAAGCGACTGGAGCGTTTACCTGAAGCATCAAAACAAAATATATTTTGAATTCGCAATTTGTTTATTACATCGTGTTTAGTTGGTGTACTTTCGTAGTGCATTTATTTGCATCAATGTTAAAAATAAATAAGTTAAGTGTTCTTAATCTGTTGGACTTGTATGACAAGTAAGTCGAAAGAGCTATTTTATATCCTACTTTAATCAGATATTGTGAGTGTAGGTAATTCAATTTTGATTGGATTTTTAGTCAATATAATAATTAGTCAATAGGAATTAGTTAGTTTTAAAGGTTAGTTTGATTAATAAAACAGTAAGTCCTTTGCAACATGCTTTATAGCTAAAATTCCATATTTATATAAACAACTAATTGTAAGACAAAAGGAGAATGGGTTCACCTTTCAAAGGGGCGTTTGAAACATCAAGCTCATTAGTCCCAACGCTGTTATTCGGAACGTTTTTGACAGATTAATAATTATATTCAATATGGTTAATATTTCCTTGTTAGTGAATTAATGTAGTGAAGTATAGGTACTGGGTTGTCACAAAATATACATGTGTCTCCAGACTGCCTTTCTTATGCATATATCAATTCAGTTGAAAGAGAGACTTGCTAATTATGTTGAGATAATAACAAAAAATACAATCCATATAATAACATTTAAATGAATGTCAATAATAGCCTCGAAAAAATCAATAAGCGGTATTATTTTGTCTTAAAATATAATATTCTATAGAGTGCTGTTATAGTTTTTCCGAAGTCAGTTGGACATGTATAAAAACGCCTGGTAATAAAATTTAATAAGTTTCATACGCGTCCCTAAAAAAGTTTTCTGTCAAAGGTAAAAAATTGTAATAATTTGTATATAATGTGTAGAAAATTTATATTATATGTACTCAAACAATTTTATTATATTGATGGTAAATTTCCAAAAAAAACATTTGTCTCATCCCTTTCGCAATTGTATAATATGAATGATTAATAGAAGGTGTCTGTAATAAATTAAAATTACCTGAATCACATTAAATTACGCATTACTGCACTGCGCTGCTAGGCAATTTCTCAGCCACTGGTCAACAGCTGAGATTTATTATCCAGTCGCCCAGTTCGGCTGTCTGTGTACGCCGTTTGCCTGTGCGCGCTTTCTTTAACTGGTTGTCGTATACATTTCTACCGTCTCCACGTTTAGTTCGACCAGACCTGCCTAAATAAATATGGGAAAAAGTTTTTCAAATATTGCTCTTGGTTCTTCAATTTAGATCGAAAAACTATATTTCTCATTTTTATTAACAAACATTGGTGCCATAGGATTCCACTTCAAAATCTAATGTTGTTTCTATGGTTCTTTCATCAAAAATTGTTTTTGAACCCATTTGGCAGTAACATTATTTAATTTTTTTGGGCAATGGCTTCAAGAAATTTTTCTTTTTTCTTCAGAATCAATTTTATGTTTTACACACAAACTGATCAAATTTTGATTTACGTTTATAAATGCAGTTTTAACAAATGTTAGTTACTTCACTGCTTCGTTGAAAGGAAATTCGGTAATTGTAGAACTGTAACAGAATTAGCAACATAAATGATATCTAAAAAATAATACTGACATTATTGGTTATCATCATCATTCCATTAATACCTCAGTAATAAAAACAAATAAATAAATTTACCAATACTTTCAATTTTTGTCGCAAGGAGATTATCCTATGATGGATTCTCTTCTGACTTGCCATTTTTTAAACAATTTTTTTTTAATGACAATGGTGACTGAGTTTTGATGTTTATTCGTCGTCTATTCAATTCAGTCACGACTTTTATTTGTTGAGGAATTAACTACTAAATAGTTGTATGGCACGCGCTTTGTAGTAATACGAAAACATAATTTACCTCCCTAATACTGAAGAAATCAATACTTTTCAGAGAAATTCATTAACTCAAAATTAGAAAAGTAATAGAAAATATATTTATTACCCTACAATTATTGAGTACGGTTTTACCAATTAAATTAGTACCATATGTTTCACCTATTAGTGCCTGCAACCATTTAATAACAATTATTATGAATAAAAACGAACAAGTTTCTAAAAACTGAATAAAGACTTCCTAGTTCAAAAAATACAAAGCATCGAATCTTTCTTAGACGCTAATGGTAGAAAGTCTTGAAATCAACACAGTTCTTGTGACATTTACAACTATTTACTGATAACAGAGATACCTGTAGAATTTGTTTTCCTCATTCTATTGGATAGATTTTTGACACTTCTGACTTTTGCTGAAGATGTTTGGAAAGCGATAAATCACGAAATTTTAAGTATCGATTTTGTAATTGTTATTCCACTAGCATCAATGAGAACCACATACCTCCTCTTCACTTCGTGATAATGGGAGAGGCTAGGATGAGCTTGCACCAAATATGTGGACGTATCATATGATTCCAAATCCTTTTTAACATAAACCTGTGATTATCCAAAGCCACAGACCAAGGTGACGCAAGTGAATCATACCGTAAGATTCAGGGCTATTATCTGGTACACAAACGAGTTAAACAGCGAGCAGGACAAGCATTCCTTGTTTTATGGTCCCACTTGGTTTCACCTCCGTTTTCCAAGCATATATGTGTCAAATACCACATTGATCAAGAATAAATACACTTATGACCTACAAAAATAGGTTTAATTAGGAATATCTGACGATATTTACTAGGAAAAACGAAAGAGCTGACGAATCAGCTAGGAAGTTTAGTAAGTTACAATTAGCCTAACAGATGCTTAACAGCTTACCCAGGCACCAGCATGGGAAGATTTTCATTGAATTTAGAAAAAGTATTGACGAACATCTTGATGCGAGCATTAGGCAGTAATCAGCTCCTTACAGAGTATTGCGGTTTTAGCGGACAGGTGTCCAAAATTGGTTTGTATGACGGAGACCTTGAATGCAGTCTCTGTAGAAGAGAAACATCATCGGTAAACATCAACATCTTGCGTGAATGTGAAGTATGAGACCAAAAGAGACGGGCCACATTATACACAACCAGTATTGGATCAACTTATGGCGGGACTAGTAAGAGGCTAAGGTAGTGGAGTCGCCTGTAGATGGAATTGAGAAACTCCATATCAAAAACAAGACTGTACTTCCCAGCTGAATTTGGCAAAATAAAGAAGAGGGTTCTAGTCAATCGAAACTCGAAACTGAAAATGGCTCTAGATGCCTTTATCAAATATTTTTATTTATAGATAATTTCCACACATTATCTAATTGCAAAATAATGAGTGCAT